TGTCTAGTTCCAGATTTTAGAGGGAATGCCTTCAGTTTTTCTCCATTTAGAATGATGCTAGCCTGAGGCTTAGCATATATAGCTTTTACAATGTTGAGGTAAGTTGCTGTTATCCCTAATTTTTCTAGTGTTTTGAACATAACAGTACAATGATCTTGACATATCATGCATGTGAATCAAATGGGGCATAATTTCTCATTTTTCTGAGTATACAGTTTGCAGAATCATATTGGTTATATAGTCACATATATACATACAGCAATACTAGTCTGACCTCATTTCTTGGCTTGTGGTCTCCTTCCGTCTTTAATGCCATAACAAGGGCAGTCTTTCTGACCCCAGTCACTTCAACCCTGACTCTCCTGCCTCCTTCTCCCATCTTTCAAAGAATTCCAGGCCCATCTAGATAATTTCTTTACGTTAAGATCAGCCCATTAACAATCTTAATTTCATCTGCAACCTTAAGTTCTCCTCACCATGTAACAGAACATATTCACAGATTTCAGGTATTGGATTGTGGACGTATTTAGGGCCATTTTTCTGCCTCTTGCACTCACTGGAAATTGCGGTAGCTGCAGGAGAGGCCACCTGGCAGATACCAGAGTCAGGAAGAAATACCCAGTCCTTGCTCCAGATGCCTTCTGATCCCCTGCTGCTCCCATGCCCTACATTAGCCAAACCCAAATAAGGGCCAAGAGGCTCAGAAGCCTGTTGAGGGGGTCCCTCCATGGCAGACTCCTGGAACAGAGAGTTGCTGGGCAATAAGAATCATGAGACCCATGCAACCCAACACCAAGGTGTAAGAAAATGCTGACTATAGTTCAGTTAATATTCAGGTGATGTATGCAATACATGTGTGAATTATATGTAATACATATGCAGATAGATATTATTCTAGAATTCAGAAGGATCTAACACTAACATAAAATATCCATTATAAAAATAAGATTTTAAATTCACCTGAAGATACAGAGGTAGAAATACCAACTGTGAGTTTCCTACACAAGAGTGTAATATATTCAAAGGGGAAAAAATGACATTAAAAGTATATGCTGTGATTATATGAAAAGCAAAGGAGGATCAAGAGAATAAACAGACCAGGGAGTGAAAGGAGGGGAAGGAGGGGGAAAGTGCCTGGGAGGGATATTGGCCAAATTATAATGCTATATTGTGTGCATGTACTAAAATGTAGTGATAAATTCCACCATTAATTATGTACAACTATAATGCACCAGTTAAAAATGTGGAGGAAAGAAAAAAAAAAAGCTCATGCTTGCCTGGTGAAAGGACACACATAATCCCAGTGACTCTGGAGGCCAAGACAGGAGGATCACAAGATTGAGGCCAGCTTCCACAATTTAGTGAGATTTGTCTCAAAAAATAAAAAGAACTGGAGATGTAGTTCAATGGTAAAGTGACCCTTGGCTCAATCCCCAGCAACAACCCCCATCCCACTCCCCCACCCCCCCCAAAAAAAAAACACAGGCTGATTTTTGTTTTTCCAATGATTTTTTCTTCAGAGTAACAGAGAGCAAGAAATACACATAGCATGGGGGCCGGGGATGGAATTTTCCCCTTCACTGAGCCACAGTTTGGTCCTAGAATCTGACCGCACCATGTCATCCTTTGCCCAGCCTCTACCACACAGAGTCCCACAGAATCATGATGGAGGGTATCATGAAGTTGGGGCTATGCCTCACTCTCCCCAACTCTTGGGCGTTGCAATCTGTCCCCAGGTCTTGATGGTTGTCCCTGACTCCTTTGCAGACAAAACAAATAGTATCTAATGGGTCTAAATGCATCAGCCACATATTCGAGGAAAGCCCCCTCCTAGGATATCCATGCAGGCCCACCTCAGTGCTTCCACCCCTCCCAGTCCCCCAGGAAGCAGGAGGTCCTAATGCTCCCCTGGTCATAGGAGAGCAGAGGTTACAGAGCAAAGAGACATTATGGAGTGTCAGCAGGGGCAGAGGTCCTGTGTTACCAGTTTCTGAGATCACATCAGAAAGATTTCAGACATATCACTCAGAGCAGCAGGCACAAGTTTATTGAAGGGCTAGGAAAGTGAAAGGGGGACACTCCCAAGGGGGAGAGTGGGTCCTCTCAGAGAGGAAAGCCAAGGTGTGCCCTTCCTGCCCTTCTGTTTCATTAAGGGTCCCAGGAAAGTCACCCACCAGGTCCACCTCTTGACTTTTGACTGAGAGCAGGATTGCATCAAACTTCCAAGTCCCTACTACACCTGCGTGGTCTTATCCCATGGCAGGAAGATTTGATAATGCTAATGGCCCAAGAACTCTGGGTCACTTTGGCCCATGTTGTCTGTTTCTAATTGGGATTGTTCTTATGAATTTAAGAAGTTTTGTTACTAATTATCCTCTTTGATTTTGGGAATCTAGCTGGTATAAAGTCCACAAAAGTTCTCCATCAGGGTAAACTTTGTTATTCTTATTGGAAGAGAGAGGAATTTTTCAGGGGCCTGCATATCACCTGCAGATAACAGGTGGTCTGCTGAACAATGTGACATATCCTACTGATGTATGCCAGCCAGCATGGCAGGTGAATTGCTTTTTAAAAGAAAACATATGGGGGTGAGCACAGTAGACCCTCTTCATGGAATTATCCTCTTAATCTCACATCTCCCCCACTCATGTCTCTCTGTTCCCTATCACAGAGAGGTGTTAGGTGGTGAAGGCCCTGTGCCTAGAACCCATACTTTTCAGTTTCATGGCCTTATAACTGGATGGCATTAATAACCCCCCAGGGCAGAAAATGGTAAGTTACACTACTTGCTGCTCCAACTTCGAAGTCGAATTGGTGGGAAAATAGATTTTATTCAAAGCCAGCTTTGGAGGAAGGGAAAAGAAATTTTTGAAACAAAAAATTTGAAGGCTCTGGGATGAGGAAAGCAAAGAGTGGAGAGGGGTACATTAGAACAAAAGACAGGAATCTTACAGATTTGCCTCTTTCCTATTGCCTCTTTATTACAGCAAAAAGAACCGGGACTTCCTGGAGTGTTATATTTAGATATGAGATATCCCCCAATGCTCACGTGTAAGCCAAAATTCTCAGAGGTGAATGATTGGGTTATGATTCGTGCATTAATCCACTGTCAGGGATTAACAGTGCAGTAACTACAGGTAGGTAGGAAGTGACTGGAGGAAGTAGGTCACTGGAGTCCTGCCTGAGGAATTTATAATTGGTCCCTTATGAGCAGAGTTCTCTCTGCTTCCTGATTGCCTGTCCCGAGCTGTTTTCCTCCGTCATGCCCTTCCACCATGATATTCTGTCTCTCCTCAGGTCCAGAGCTATGGAGTCAGCCATCTAGGGACTGAGACCTCAGAAACTGTGAGCCCAAATAAACTTTTCCTCTTCTAATTGTTCTTGCCGGGTCTTTTGGGCACAGCAATGAAAAAGCTGACTAAAACATTGTTCCAGCATCTGCATCTCCTTTTTGGATAAACAAGTTTTATTTCAAAAACTGAGGAGAGGGAAGGCATTACAGAGAGCTGTCTTTGAAATTATGAATACCAAAACAAAGGATGTTAGAAAGAGAAACCGATTGGAGAAATAGCTAGGAGAGGAGAAAGAAATAGTTTTAAGAAAACATCTTTTTAAAGAAATGCTTTGGGAGGTGAGATCCTGGTACCAGCAGGGTGGCGACGCTTGGAGGTAGCCCGAGAGGACTCCTGCTCCCTAGCTGCAGTAGCCCTCGGGACCTGGAAGCGGCCCGAGGCAACGGAGACGGCCAAAGGTGGCCCGGAGTGGCCCGCGCAGCCCTCCTCTCGAGCCTCTGCCCCTGAGTTTCTGAGTACTCTAGGTTGATGTAGATCGACGCTGATAATTTGGGGGCAAAGGCTGCTTAGCCCTATCCTAGGGACCCCAGAGAAAATGTTGACTCTGTTTTGGGAAGCATTGGTGGGCAGTGAGAGTCACAGATAACACAGCAAGCAGGATGGAGCACTACCGGAAAGCTGGCTCTATAGAGCTTCCAGCACCTTCCCCAATGCCCCAGCTACCTCCTGACACCCTGGAGATGCGGGTGCGAGATGGCAGCAAAATTCGAAACCTGCTGGGACTTGCACTGGGTCGATTGGAGGGAGGCAGTGCACGACATGTGGTGTTTTCAGGTTCTGGCGGGGCTGCAGGGAAAGCGGTCAGCTGCGCTGAGATTGTCAAGCGTCGAGTTCCAGGTCTGCATCAGCTCACCAAACTGCGTTTCCTGCAGACTGAAGACAGCTGGGTCCCAAATTCACCTGACACAGGTTTAGACCCCCTCACAGTACGTCGCAATGTGCCTGCAGTGTGGGTACTGCTTAGCCGGGACCCCCTGGACCCTAGTGAGTGTGGCTACCAGCCCCCAGGGGCACCCCCTGGCCTGGGCTCCATTCCCAGCTCCAGTTGTGGCCCCCGACCCCGAAGACCACCTCGAGACAACCAGTCCTGAAGACCTGCTAAACCAGGCTGTTCTCTAGGTCTGAACATCTGAGATGGCTGTGCCTTTTCTGAGACCCCCCTTTGACTGCTCACCATTCCCAACACAGCTCGGGTCCACAGAAATCCTACTGCCCCTTCCGTCTGGCCTATTGGAAGGGACTGCTATGAAGAACACCATGTGTGGGGGTCTCTGCTGATTTCTGGATTGTTTGAGAAGGGCTTTGCCTTCAGCCTACAGTACATTTGACCTGCCTTCTAATGGAGGTCTAGAGTTAGGAAATAAAGGTTCTGCCCATTTGTCAGATGAACCTTGGCCCACTTTGTGGAAGTGGGAGTAAAGGAATAGAAGTCCCTATCTTTTGCCCCCTGAGAGCTAATAGGCTGGATACAGAGAAAGAATAGGCTCAGGATGGTGTTGGATCTAGTGAATAAGAATCTTCAAGCAGTGACCTGAATCTATGTAGACCCATGGTTGGCTGTTTGCCACCTGCTTTGGGCTCAGTCAGGAATTCTGCAAGCTCAGGTTTCTCCCCTTCTGCAGCATATGTTACAGCGGGATCATGGACCCAGGCATCAGCCTGTCTGGATTTGAATCCTGGTTCTACCACTTGAAATTTACTGCCTTGTGATCTTGGACAAGTTACTCTTCTGTGCTTTAGTGTTCTAAATGATAGTGTTTACCTCATGGGGTTGTTTTGAGGATTAAATAAAGAGAAATAAATATTTGATAGTTAGATGACAAAAAAAAAAGGAAATGCTTTGGGGTTTGTAGTTGTTGGGGGGTTTTTTTTTGTTTGGTTGGTTGGTTTTGTTTGGTTTTAAGGCTTCCCCAAATTGTTCTGTCTGGGGCAGAATAACATTACACTCTTCATTACATATTCATCACTCACTAGGCCAGAGAGGTAAAACCTGGTCATGCTTGTCTGCATTTGAAATATACTTGGCCACCTGAAATCATAGTCAACATTATGTTTAAGTAATCACACAAGGCTCTAGGTTCAATCTGTAGCACTGTGAAATAAAATACACTATTTTAGTTTTTTTTTAATTGTAGCAAATTACATACAACGTAAGTTTGCCATCTTAACCATTTCAAGTGTACAATCTAGTAGTGGTTAAGTACATTCACATTGTTATGCAACCCATCTTCAAAACTTTTCTCATCTTGCAAAACAAACTACTATTAAACAATTCCCCATTAGACACATCAATGTTTTGTGATTACTTTCTTCAAAGGAATTTTATCTCCTGCTAGTTTTCCTGTTGGCCCACTTCCTTTTTCTCCTCCCTCCCGATCCCCACAGTCACATTTGAACAATATACAGCTCACCTTCTTCCGCCATCTCTTTGTGACCATTATTGACATCCACAGAAGAAATAAAATTCCCCCAAGTCACACAGATCCCCTGAGAACCTCGAGGAGAAGGCTACTGGTCCACTGGGTCTCAAGGATCGCCCCCCAACAAACTTCTCTACTCAAAGCCATCGGACAAGAAGTAGCCTCAGGCCCAAGGAGGTACCTAGAAGAAATCTATTGAGTCAGCACTCTCTGGGTTCAGAACTCTGTAATAAATTTTTTCAATCAAAAAGAGTCTCCTTCTCCAATTTTCTATGGAGAATGGAAGCAGATCTCACTCTGTTCTTGGCTCCTGAGTGGCAAACTTAACCATAGTGGTGAACCATCAAGCCGTCTAAAGGTGAGAGACCACTCATGATGCCAGGAAAGAGCTCATCTTTCACCTCCCACACAATAAGAAACTAAAAAACAAAATGGCAAGCCAAGGGATATGCATAAGAAGAGTTTGATATAGAGGAGGAAACCCACAGAGGTGCAAGTCATGGGTGCTTGTGACCCTGCAGGAAGAATTTCAAGAGAGTCACACATCGTAGCAGAAAGAAGTTTATTAGAGAAAAAGGAAAAGGAAAAGGGACACTGTCAAGGGAGAAAGAGTAAGAATAGGCCCTCGGAGAGGAGAGAGACAGCCCCACCACCATCATCTTCCGGATTTATCGGAGGTCCCAGGGAAGTTTCCTTATAGTCACACTCAGGTGCACCTCTTGACTTTTGACTGACAACAGGATTGCCTCAGACTCAAGTCTACACTGTGATGGTCTTACAAGTATCCAAGCAAAACCCATGGGCTAAACTTTTACCATAATAATGACATGCCAAAAGCCAACTCTAGGTCATCTTGGCCCATATTAACAGATTCCAATTGGCCTGAGTCCTGGAATCTTCTTGTATATAAAGGTGATAAAATTTCCCAACAACAGATAACAGGTTGTTTGGTTTAAAAGATAATATAATCTATTGACTGAAGCCAGAGCAATTATGCCTTTATGTAAATTTCTTTTGAAAAGAAAGCAACTGGGGATCCAACACAGTATACCCTCAACTTCATGTTGCTTTTTTAATTGATTCTTTTCTAGTTCTATAAAACATTAGATACATTTTGACAAAATCATAAAAGCAAGGAATATAATTTGCTATAATTCAGTCCCCAGCCCTTCTCCCTCCCCATCCCTCTACTCCACTGATCTTTCTGCAACTTATTTATAGATTTAAAATTTTTTTTAAATTAGTGTCTTGGGTTTACATTGTGCTAATGTTCTTATCATTACAGCTTATGTTTATCTCCTATAGTACTGATGACAATATTATCCTGCCATTGCTCCTTTATTACTGGGAGAAGGTACAGGCAGTGGTGGAATGGATGTTCCAAAATACCCTCAGTAATCTTCGCATTCTTTTTTTAGCACAATGAATTCTCCATTCCAGGGAAGTGCTGCTACCAAAAAGCTGCATATTTCTGCCTAAAAAAAAAAAATACAGCAACAACAAAAATCAGTAACATGCCAAAATAAGAAGAAAAAAAATTTGTCCTGTTGCTGGATGTCAGATTAGGAATACCCTAAAAGATGGGTCCCGCAGGAAACTGCAAAGCTGGAGGCTGCAGACTTCCACCATCAGCAGTTCCCCAGACAGATTTTTGGTCCATGCTGACCCCAGGTAGACAGTAAACACTAACACTAATAACATTTTGGTGGAAGATTAGATGAAAAGTTGACTATTTTTAATTCTCTTGAACACTTCCTACAATGTAAATGAAATAATTCCATATTATATATAAACTAATATATGCTATTTTAATGATTAAATAATAATCATTAAAAAATCATAAATTTTATCTAATAACAACTCATTGGAAAAGAACAATTTAGAGGGGCTGAGGTTGTGGATTCATGGTAGAGCCACTACATGTGAGGCACTGGGTTAGATCCTCAACACCACATAAAAATAAATAAAAATAAAACAAGGGTATTGTTTCCATCTACAACTAAAAAAATTAATAAAAAAATCAAAGAACAATTTAGAAGATTCTAGAGCCTAATGTATCTTTTGTTCCAAAGAGCCCTCCTCTTCATTTCACATGTATATATAATGGATAAATGATATGATGGATGATGGGTGAATGGATGGAGAGATGGATAGACAGCAGCCAAGGACATCTTAGTATATTAAGTTATATGATAGTTGAGTGCGTGGATGTCTTTCTTTAGAGTGGAATTGATGACCTGCTGTCTTTTAGGGGAGAATCAAGGAGAAGACCATGTTCAGGGTCCTTCACCCTTTACCTTAAAAATCACAGGGTTGGCCATCTGGGGATGAATACCAGGAGCTATTCAGACCTCCAAGAGAGAGTCTGGGCACCTCAAGTTTTTCTGATCACCTGGAGGCCTTGATAAACCCAGATGGGACTTGAAATCTCCAGGACTTTCACAGATGGTTGCTTTGACACCTACCTTTTTCAGGTCAGAGTCTTCCTGAATTACACAGTCTTCTTCATTGTTTAAAGGCTTTTTGCAAGTGCTGCGGGCAATTTCAACTTCAATTAAGTATTCCATGCGATCTGTGATCTGTCAATTAGCAATGATGTAATTTTATTCAAAAATTTTTTATTTTAATTTTTTTTTAAGTTTTAGCAGACACAAAAATTCCTGTCACTTTTTGCTCCTCCCAACCCTCCACACCACCACCACCCCCGAAACCTGTCATTAGGGAAAGGACAATATCCTCTGTTTGGATTAGTTTGCAGGGAAAGACTCCTTTTCCAATTTGGGGCCTCCTTGAAGAAAAGACCTTCTGATTTTATTTTTGGTCCCAAAGTTTTGTGAAGGGCAAGGGAAGGAGGGAATGAACTCCAGAACCATAAACTCTCCTGGGCCCTATGAAGAACAGCCTCCTCAGCTACCTTGGGCCCCCCTCCCTTCCCCATACCCTCCTCAGATTCCTATGAAACCTTCCACCCAATGCTCCTTCCTCTAGCTTAGCACATGGTCCTTAATGTTGAGCAACAGTTGGTTTATGATAAGAAATCGTTATTTACTGATTTAATTAATAATTGTATAACGTAAAGTCAATTCTAGATGTACATTTGAATCTCCTTCTACCTGATTTTAAAATGTTAAGAGCAGGAGAGGAAGGGGTGTCTGGACCTTTCTCTACCAGACCTTTCCTTATTGCTGACTCCAAGCCTCAATAAAGTTGGGTTCGATTTTATCTGAACCTCCCAAAAATGAGCAAAGGTGACTGTAGCCTGCCTTATAGAGTAAAAGCTGATTAGACGACATCAAGAACAAGCCAAGTTCTTCATATAAGTTAACATTGCCATAGACAGGACTCCCTGTGGATACAGGTTGAGCATCCCTAACCCAAAAGAAGTCCCTTTTAGAACCGACCTGACACCACAAGTGGAAAATTCTACGTATGACCTCACATGATTTGTAGCAGTCAAAATTTAGGTGCACCAGAAATAGTGTATAAAGTTACCTTCATCACTAAGAATTTTTTTAAAGTAATCATTTAAAAAGTTACCTTCAGGAGGCTATTTGTATAGGTTGTACATGGATTTCATATTTAGACTTAGATCCTATCCCCAAGATCTCTCAACTAAAAACATACTTTTAAAAAATCTGAAACACTAGGGGAGGGAGGGGTGAGAAGGAGACATGGTGGTAGGAAAGATGGTGGAATGATATGGACATCATTACCTAGGTACATGTATGACTGTACATATGGTGCAATGCTACATCATGTACAACCAGAGAAATGAAAATTTGTAAGTACATGAAAAAATGCTCACCATCTCTAGCAGTCAGAGAAATGCAAATCAAAACCACCCTAAGATACCATCTCACTCCAGTAAGATTGGCAGCCATTATGAAGTCAAACAACAACAAGTGCTGGCGAGGATGTGGGGAAAAGGGTACACTTGTTCATTGCTGGTGGGACTGCAAATTGGTGCGGCCAATATGGAAAGCAGTATGGAGATTCCTGGGAAAGCTGGGAATGGAACCACCATTTGACCCAACTATTGCCCTTCTCGAACTATTTCCTGAAGACCTTAAAAGAGCATACTACAGGGATACTGCCATATCGATGTTCATAGCAGCACAATTCACAATAGCTAGACTGTGGAACCAACCCAGATGTCCTTCAATAGATGAATGGATAAAAAAAATGTGGCATTTATACACAATGGAGTATTACGAAGTTTAATGACAAAATCATGGAATTTGCAGGGAAATGGATGGCATTAGAGCAGATTATGCTAAGTGAAGCTAGCCAATCCCTAAAAAACAAATGCCAAATGTCCTCTTTGATATAATGAGAGCAACTAAGAATAGAGCAGGGAGGAAGAGCAAGAGGAAAAGATTAACATTAAACAGAGACATGAGGTAGGAGGGAAAGGGAGAGAAAAGGGAAATTGCATGGAAATGGAAGGAGACCCTCGTTGTTATACAAAATTACATATAAGAGGTTGTGAGGGGAATGGGGAAAAAAACAAGGAGAGAAATGAATTACAGTAGATGGGGTAGAGAGAGAAGATGGGAGGGGAGGGGAGGGGGATAGTAGAGGATAGGAAAGGTAGCAGAATACAACAGTTACTAATAGGGCATTATGTAAAAATGTGGATGTGTAACCGATGTGATTCTGCAATCTTTGTAATGTTTTGAACAACCAATTTAAAAAAAAAGGAAAAAAAAGAAATGAAAAGTTGTGCTGCAATGGTGTACAATGAAACAAAATGCATTCTGCTGTCATATATACCTAATTAAAATAAATTAATTAATTTCTTTTTAACTTGAAACACTTCTGGTACCAAGCATTTCATGTAAGACTTTTTCAACCTGTAACTATACTTGCTAACCTTCACCAAGAGCTGGCTTTGTGCCAGACACTGGTCTCAGAGATTTGCATACAATAACTCAATTAACCTTCAATCTTCTAGGGTGAGGATGTCACTTCCTTTTATTTACAGGTAAGGAAAACAGGTGCAGAGAGGCTGAGTATACATCTAACTAGTGGCTGATCCAGAATTCAAACCAAGCCATCCTGGCACCACAGCTCGCATTGCTAGCCAAAGGGCTGCACTGCCTGTCCATCTCTACCAATCCAGAGAAGCCCAAGGGCATTCCCACATGCTGACTACAGGGAAATTCAAACCTAATGCCAGGAGGCTGGACTGTCTAGTCACGTGAATATCCTCACCACATCCTCACAATCCTTTTCTAAAAATGAGCTAACCAGAGTGATCATTTTAAATTTCAAATTAGATCATACGAATCCTAAGAACTCCATGACCTCATGTTGTTGTTGGTTTTTTTTCCTGACTTTTCAGTGCAGCTAAGATAAAGTGAAAATCTTAATCATGGCCTTCAACACCCAGTGTGGTGTTGTCACCATCTACCTCTCTGGCCAGTCCCCCCAGCAGCCTTATAGAAGCATTTAAAATGTATGACTGCTCTTCCTCACCCCTGCACCCGCAGATCCTCCCTGCTCCCCTTCTGTAGTGGATGTGGTGAGTGGTACTCCATGCCACATCCTGTTTCCAAATATGCCACCAGTTACTATAGCTCTTGCCTGGGATTTCCTGCCACCAGAAGACAAGGGCTCCTGGAGAAGCTCTCAACAAATGATAGGTGTGAGTTGGTGGATAAATAACCCAGCTTTTTCACCTATAAATGGGTCCAACTTTGAGGTGGGTTCTGCATGTCTCCTGAATCATCCAGGGAGACCAAACCCAGTTGCTCATGGTGATCACACAGCCATCAACTCACCTTTGTATTGGCCACCTTCCCCTACCCTGTCTGCTTTCCCTTCTAACAATCTGGTACTTGCTGGGATGACCACTGCCCTCCCCCCAAAAAATTAAATAATCTTCCCTTGAATTCTAGCCATTAGGCTGTGCTTCTGGGGAAACCCAGAATATATCACCTCCCACCAACCTCCTTCCTCTGTTTGACTCTCACTCTACCTTCAGATCTTGTCCCTTCCCTTTCCTACCAGTCCCACCAACAGCCATGTAGAAACATTCTGCTTCTCAGGAATGACAGGATCAGCTAGTGGGATTTAACACTTACTGAGACCTGGGTCTCACCCAGAGATCCTCCTCTTATTGGTGAGGGCGTGGCCTGCACAGTAGGATATTTATAAGATCTTCGGGTGAAAAACACTGTCTAAAGACTTCCCCTGACACCCTACACGCCTGTGTCCCATACCACCAGAACAGAGACTACAACCCCAATTCCTCGTTTAGGGTTTTCTTTTTTTTTTCAATTGGACTTCTGGCTCCCTAAGGACTGGGATTATTTGTATCTACCATGCCACCCCATCTACATTAGCTGGTGCAAAAGTGGCTTCTGAGAAAAGTGCTGAATTCACGTGCTATTTGAGTACCAAAGAAAGTGAACTGTGAAGGAAACTGGCAAAGTGACAAGACCAGGATCAATTCCTTTATCCCAAAAGACCACCTAGAATTCCCAAATCCATTCAGAGACAGATTTTGGAGTGTACCTGATCAATAAAGGGTGCTACATCACCAGCATAATGTTCTAGAAATACAGTGCTGATGCTGTGTTTTCCCAAGGCATGAGACATAAATTCCATCAATAGTGACCTTTCTGTTGGATGCCTTTATGACTGAGTCCTACAAGTTTCACAGTGTAATTTCAAGCAAGACCACCAACCATCTGACTGAGGTTGCTATTTACAGTCAGCTGCATTCCAACACTTACAGTCTTTCATAGGACAGAGCAGTTACAAACTGTTACAAACTCCACCATGTTACAAACTCCAGGGAGCACCATACCTATTGAAATTCACATAAGCAATGCTTTCTGGAGTTGAACAACTCATAACCCTGTGAAGAAGGGCACATTTTTATAAGAAGAAAAATCAATGTGACTCCAATATTTATCTGTAATAAATAAACGTTGAATTAAAAATCAAATAACATAGAAAAGGCACTTACTAGCTTATGTATTCAACAGTGCCATGTACCTCACTTCAAGTCCATATTTCACATTATGTGGACAGATTCAAAAAGTTGCCTGTGGTAGTATTATTGCAAAATATTCATGGTTCTCCATTTATCTCCCACCCTTAGTAAACACATTAACATTTGATTTGAAGTTCTGGGGTCGGGCTGGGGATGTGGCTCAAGCGGTAGCGCGCTTGCCTGGCATGCGTGCGGCCTGGGTTCGATCCTCAGCACCACATACAAACAAAGATGTTGTGTCCACCAAAAACTAAAAATAAATAAATATTTTTTTAAAATTTAAAAAAAAAAAGTTCTGGGGTCAAATGAATTAAGATATGCAAAGAGCTTAGAACAAAATCCCAAACATATATAGATAGTGCTTTGTGTTGTTACTGTTTACTAGGTTGGTGTATATACTGTTGAACACTCACATATTTTGGATTTTGTACATCTCAACATTTTTCTCATATACCCACTCTCAGTCTGGTTTCAGCCTGTGCCACCGTATGCAAATATACTATCTGGAAAAAAGCATCTCACCTGCAGATAGGATTGCAGTATCCTGGTGACGATGAAAATATTGTTGTCCTCGCTCTCTTCATTGTATTCTCGCATGGCAAACCACAAGCACTGTCTCACGTTGGTATTTGAGTTACTGATAGATTTGAATTCCCTCAATACCTTTATCTGATTCTTGGCTTCATCAATACTGACCACAAGGGCCACGTGAATGGTGAGAAGGAGCAGGAAAAGCCACAACTGTCTGTTCATGGTCCCTCAATCAAAAGGCACAAATTCGTCTTCTCTTCGTCGTCTCAGGGCTGGAGTTGTGAGTGGCCTGTATTAACCTAGATATCATATAGAGAAAGCTTCTCTAAAGATGGATTAAGCTTATTTGGGGATAAAAAGAGTCTTGGAATGGGAATGCTTGGGCCATGCTAAACTGTGGGTGTATTCAAGGAGGCTAAGACAAAGACAGGTGTTTAAAAACAAAATGAGAAGGACATACGAAAATTCGAAACAAAACCTGAGCTACAAAAATCAATAACAAGTGACATCAGTCCAAGGTTAGGCTGTCATGGGACACATGATCTTCCAGAAATATTTTCTGCATAAGGTTGTGGTGAGCTCTGTGAAAGATTGTGGTTCTTGCAGAGTCTTGTTGAATAATTTTGTTACCAGGCATACAAACATGAGATCCCTTCCTTCTTAAACCTCCCCCCAGCTTTATGTATGTATGTATGTATGTATCTATGCATGTGTTTTGGTTAGTGTCTGACAAAAGCAACTCTATTTTGATTCTGATAACTTTTATAGTTCAAGGATCTCACCAAAACAAGGATTTTTCTTTCCTAGTCAGTGAACCATCAGGGTCATCCTTAGAACTATCCCTTTCCTTGTGCAAGAAAACTCACGAATGGCACTAATGGCACCCCAGTCTCTGACACAAGTCTTCCCCTTCTCCTTCTATCTTAGGTGTGGTCTGTGTTTCTAAGGAGAACTTCCTCCAGATAGACGCTGATGTGTCCTATCCCATGCCTGCCACAAGTTACCTATATCTCAGTGCTGTAGGACAGGACTATGAAATTGTTAGCTTAAGGTTTCCTGGCCCAGTCCTCTGACCCTCCAACCTGCTTCACCTGTGAGGCTCCTTCTTCGTCCTTGTGGAATTGGACTCTGATGGACTGAGCCAGCTTGTAGTTCTTCTGAGACTCCAGCACTCTCAGTGTGTGCCTGTGCCCTGGTCAAGGGGCTCTGTGGGTCTGTCTTTGCTTTCTGAGCCCAGGCCCTGCACGAGAGCCACACTTTGTGATGCAATCCAGCATTTGTGACCTTGCCTTAGGGAGGGCACCCCTTACCTTCCCACCTGTGGCCTTCGGATCCAACCAGTAGTTAGAGGGATACGGACAGCAGGCAAGTACTTCCCACAAAGTAGAGGGCCCCTTGTGGGTCTTCTGCCCACCTGTGCAATAATCCCAGCCTTCTAAATGCTTGGCCTCTGGACTCCATTTGTCTTGCACCTCCCTTCCCTATCCTGCCAAAATTAGGGGTACATAGCTCACCCTGATGCTGAGGCCTAGGTCTTAGAGGGAGGAGGTAGGCAGCATCCCTCAAACTGCCAGAGATTCTGTTTTTTTGTGCCCAGTAAATCAGTGCCCAGCAAGGTTCCTGGAGAGACACATAGGTAGGCCTTCATCCCAAGCTGCAAAGACTGATGCTCTTTTGACTATGAGGAAGGGCAACATATAGTAACCACATATAGGCATAAATCTGCCAGGCAGGTTGTAAAACATTACAGATTGTGAATATACCACATATTTAAATCTCCCTATCAATAGACTGGTTACTTCTCATTTTCAGTTGTGGGCAAAAATACTACTATGAAAACTTTATTATCTTTGAGAAATTACACAAAAATCTAGATGAGGAATTACTGCAAAAGCTTCATATGCTTTCAAATTTATTATTTACTGACAAATATATATCTTGAATATTAACGTGCACAGGAAGCACCTGGGAATCTTGTTAAAATGTGAGTGCTGGATTGGTGATATAGCTCAGTTGGTAGAGTGCTTGCCATGTATGCACAGGCCCTGGGTTCAATCCCCAGCACCACAAAAAAGAAAAAGAGTGTAAGTGCTGATTCAGTTGGTCTGGGGCAGGGCACAACAGTTTGCATTTCTAACCAGTAACCGGTTGATATGGATGATCTGGTTTTAGCATTATGATTTGAGCAGAGAGGTACTGAATTGTGACAATTCTTGTTTTTCCACATCTTTGCCTTCATCCTAGTTATTCTTTCTCAACTGGATAGAAAAATAATTATGTTGCATTGATTTTATTTGCACTATTTGTATTATTGTATGAGGATAACCATTTCCTCAGTAATTCTTCTCGTAATTTCTCACTTTTTTTACCCATTTTTCCTAGTGTAATATTTGCCCATTCTAAAAATAATTTCAAAAGCTTTGGAGGAATCTTAAAGTAATTTATATTTTTGTATGTGTGCAACAAGACTGTTCTTCAATGCATCTTCCATCTTCTGAATTTATTCAGACTGGATTTTTGTTTTTAATATTTTTTGTAAGAGTATTTAAATTTTCGAGGTACCCCAATTTATCAAAAGCTTTTATCATTACTAGATTTTATGCTTTTTATTAAAAGGACTTCTTGACTTAAATTTTTTAACTGACTCATTTTATTTATATTTTTTGTAATTTGTAAAATTACCATGCTTGTATTGTGTGTGCTGGCCTCTTCAATCCTGTCTTTGACAGCTTTTCCACAACTAGCTAACCAAGCTCCTCCTGGAAAATTGGCCTGGCCTCTGCTAGAAGTGTCTCCCCAGCCCCGTGAACAGACCCGCCCACCCTGGGAGTCTCAACACACATTCCATTTCCACAGAGACCTCCCCCATCTAAAGTTCCCTCAGTTACTCTTGTTTTCATTCATTCATGCTGTTCGTTACTTTCCTATCATTTATCATAGCCTGCAGTTACGTATTGGTGAATTTATATATTTTCTGTCTTTCCTCACAAGAAATCAAATGGGCTTTGGAAGGACAGGGAATCCTTTATAAGCACAAATAACTCAAACAGATCGGCAAGCTGTCTTTATTAAGTGTTGGTGGAATGGCACATGGCACATTTGCAGGGTAGAAAACGGCAACTGGTTACAAGTGGGGTCTACTTTTTAAAGGTCTTAATGAGAGGTAATAATAGCAGAACATTTAGTGTGACTTAATCATTAGAGACTGCAGACCTGGGGTTGGCCAGTCAGGAAACTAGTTGTGCAGGTGAAAATCTAACTCAGGAAAACAGCTCTAAAAGCTCAAAACTCACTGTTATGGGGTCAAAAATCTAAAGCCTAGAGACTATTTGCTTAACTTCTCTCTCCAGGACCCATTTTCCTTGGGGAAAGGATGAAAGCCCATAACCCAGGGCCTGAAGTTGGCTTCCCGTCCTCCCTTCCCAGGTCACACTCTCCAGAGATTCTTCTGAAAATTCTGTCCTGGCAACACTATGACAATTCATGGGAATGGGTCATTCAGGAAGAGGCGGGCTTTCTGCCAACTTGAAATCCCAGAGACCTAGGACAAAAGAGGGAAGACCACCACCCATCCATTCCATTCTGAGGCAGGGAAAATAGGTGATGCTGACAGTTGTGGAAGTTAGGATGGCCCCAAAGGGTGAACCCAAGCATTGGAGAGCAAGTGCAGACTTGGAGGCTAAAAGCCACTGTCTTTCCAGCCCTGGAGAAGATGTTCTTGTTAGTCAGGCAATCTGTGATATCTATGAGGGCAGAAGCTCTGGTGAGTCTCAGTTACCCTCCCCCATTTTTTTGGCCTGGGACTGGCAGAAATGCTGCCCACTGTAAGCCTCATCACTAAGATGGAAGCAGAGGGGATGTAAGTTGCTGCTACCTGAAAATTTTTTCTACATTTTTTTCTGAGTGCATGGATGGGGACATGGAGAAATTAGAGAATGAATAAATGAATGAATGAAGTGATGGAAGAATAAATGAATGGAACCGTCAAATGAAGGATGAACTACTTCACAGAACTTACCAGTCTGCGCCTGGAGCCAAGGTAATAATGATAACAATGATAAATTCTCCATTGTTTGTCACTGACAGCGACATCCATAGCAAAGAAATAATACAGGAAGGTACAAAACAGCTCAAGGACCCAGAAGGTGCTGTGAGAGATACTTTTAATTGTGCTGGTGCTGCGCAGACCCAGGACCAAAGGCTGTCAAACTCCAGAGAAAGAAAGGACCTCTGCTGTGGATAGCCAAGGATCCCTTCCCTGTCTATGTCTGCAAACAGGTGCTGTTCAGGACGTTGAACTTGGTCATCCATGCTAAGGAAAATACAATAAAAGTACAGCGCACCTGAAAAAAAAATTGCAATGCATAAATTGTTAAACGTAATTACAATGCATTGATATCATTTAACATGTAGTAAGTAGAGGCTCAATATGCATCAAAAGCAAAAGAAAAAAAGAACATAAAAGCAAAAACATTCACCTGGAGCAGAGCTCATAAGGCTCAAGGATTCACCAGCATAATGGGCAGAAATTACTGAATTCCCCAACCTGAATGCTAGGGCTCACTAGAGGGCATCTGCCTAGAAGCCATCACCCTGAGGTATCCATCCACTCAGAGCCTCTCCAATACACATCATGACAGATGATCTGTCCCCATGCTGTGTGCTCTGACAGACCCACACTGAAAGACGGTCTTGCTGGTCACCACCAAACAGAGTAGCAGCACAAACCTACCCCAGAGGCTGCCTGTAAGGATGCTGGTTGAAGGGGGAGACCCCCACTGATGGCATGCCTCTGACAGACAACCATCCTGAAGCTCCCACGTCCCATGGATCACACGTCAGTCATAGGATGGCCACATCAGAACTCAAGCCCACCAGGAAGTGTCCTTACAACCCAGTTACAAGAAGGAAAGGTGGGTGAATAGATAACTGAACAGTCCTCCAGTCCCCAGACATGAGCAAAAGAAGAGTGAGGACCACAGGGAGAACATCATCTGTCTGAACCTCAGGGGTTTCAGAAAGGTACGGCGCTGGGACCAGAGGAAGGGCTCCATCTCATGACCAAGGCCACATGGATGTCTGCAGGTTGCCTGTGGTCATCCAGTAAATGGGAATGGGATGGGAAGCAAGCTCTGTCTGTTTAAAATGCCCCCTTTCCAGCCAGTGTTGGAGCCCTGAGAGCTGGTGGGAGAAGGGTCAGGAGCCCTCATACTGTCCCTGGACTACCCCAACAACTTTCTTTAGGGCTCCACCCAAAGGCCTTCTTGATATTACTTTGCATTCCCACGAGGATTCACAATGCTTTCTCAAACCTTTTTCTCTCCTGCGCCTTTTTGTAACGGGCAATTGTCAATGTCTTCATCATGTTTTTTGCAAATCGTACGACCCATCTCCACGTCTATTAAATATGTCCAATTAAATAGCTGTCAAGAAGAAATTGCAGAAACTATTATGAAATACCTTGTTGTAATGAATAAACAAAGAGAAAAAATAGAAAAAGGAACAAAAGATGTGAATATTCATATGCATGTCAATAAAGATATACATATCATCTACAATCTCTTTTTTATTTCAATTTTTCTTCTTAATTCTCCATTTCCCTACAAAAAGAGGTCCATTAAGCTGAAAGTATGGCTCAGTGGTAGAGGATATGCTTAGCATACACAAGGCATTGGGTTTTGCTTCCAGCACCAAAAAAAATGCCCATTAAATACTAAATACACCTAAAGAAGACATGAGAGTCCTCTGTCAGCACTCTTCCCCTGGCTTCCCATGGTCAGGGTGATGAATATGCAGGGTGTAACACGTTGCACAATCAAATCTTATAGAGCAACGACCCTTCTTCATATGCTACAACCATGACGGACAAAATGACTACTCTCAAATTTGTGCCTAAGCAGCATCAGCCAGACACAGAGAAGGAATGCTGAATGACTAATTTTACATAGAGCAGCAGAGGAAGTACTGGGGAATGAAACTGACCAAATGATACTGTTACATTGTGTGCATGTATGAATATGTAACAACAACTCCCAGTGCCGTGTATAATTACAATACACCAGTAAAAAGGGGAAAATCATAATTATGGGTGATGATGGGGAGCTGGGAAGTTGTCTTTCAGGTGGGTATCAAATGCACAGAAACAGCTGGCATACATTTGTGGAAGTATATATTAATTGCCCCATGCTGTTCTAAATATTTATTGTGGTCTTACAAAAAGAATATTGTGGCCTTACAAAAAAATAATTTATTTAAAGTTATTTTCATTTCCATAACTAGAGGTCAATAATAATTCAGGAAGCACCCAAACAGGAAGGAAAAGCAAAACTAAACAGGAAATCCTCCCAGGGTGGAGCATGCATTTCACTCGACTGACCTTGAAATTGCTTCTTAGAAAGTTGATGACTCAGGAACTTAAGAATAGGGGCAGGTGACAACGATGCACACTCATGCCTGTCACACGCACACTCAGGCCCAACACATTAGGGTCAGAATTACTGGGGACAATTCCCAATGCCCTCTCTGTGAATTAAGCAGGAGTTTGTCTTTGGAACCTCCCTGCCACTCTATTTCACTGCTGCCCCTACTAGCCATTTTCAACTTGCACAAATTTGCATGTAACAAGCACTCACTCTAATGGTCCAATATGAAAAAATGCTAACCTGGTGCTGCAATGAGAGACAATTTCCAAGTCTTTCTCTGTGAATTAAGTGGGAACCTACCTTTTTGGAACATCCTTGCCAGTTGTATTTCACCACAGACTCCCAGATTCTTGTACCCTACACACCCCAATCATACACTTACACACTCATTTCTCACACCAACAACACCTCATGCACACATGCCAATCATACCAATTACACTCTCACATGTATCCATGCCTGACACACATTACCACACTCATACACGCTGCCTCATCTATGGCCCTCCCTTCTTGCACAGCCCCCACAAACTGAGTTCTGGGGCTCTACAGCTGGGCAGCAGCAGCAGAGGCAGTGAAGAGGTTGGTGCTGAAGGCTCCTGTGGTCCCCAGGGCTGAGGGCTGAGATCACCCAAGGTTGAGGCATCCCAAGGGAATACGAAAAGCCGAGGAAAGTGTGCACCTGGGCAAGTAGGAAGGTCCACAGGCTTAAGGCTGCAAGAGTATGCTGCAGGTATAGAACCCTCCTCATCAGTCCCTGACGATGTGCCACTAGCTCAGGGCTCTTTATGTGGGGACAATGCTCTGAGCATGGGTACTCCTACTATTGGACATTGTCACTATTTTATTCAAAGAAAGCAGTAAGGGACGAAAACAGATCTTGCTGGAAAAGCCTACGATCAGCAAATGCTGATGCCACCTAAATATCAGGGCCAATCTGTCCCCCAAAACCTACCACCTTTATGACCATTCCACGGGGTTGTGTTAGGACTCTTCAATGTGCTGTAACCTACCCAGATCTCTCCATCTCCCTCCGCCCATCTTCTTGCTTGGGCTTTCAGTTGGTAAAGTCCCATCCCTTGTATTTAAGACAAACTTGTAGGGTCCCTCCTTGACTTCACTCAGGTCTTCCACTCACATCAGCATACCCCACATCTACCCCTTGCCTACCTCCTGGTGACCAGGGGCTCATACTTGCTTCAAGCTTGCCTGAGAGCACTGCAGGCCACTGACACACAATTAGCATCTAAAAGAAGCTTGCTAGTTCATTGGAAGGTAACATCCAGTGGATTCCTGTACTCCAAGTTCAGCATCCTAACTCCTCAGCACCCTGATCCCCCTGCACACTTGCATTTCAGCATTCCTTCCCAGAGACAAAGGTCCATGGAATTTCAGGCATCCTCCTGAGTACATCTGGTTCATCCTCTCCCAGGAATATCCCTGAGACTGTGAGCACTTCTATTGCCCTATACTCCACATGACTAGTCCTGCCCATAGAAGAGGGGTCTTCCCTGACCATCCATCCAAATAGTTACCACCTTCCAACCTTCCTGACCTCCCATAACCCTGTATCATTACACTGACCCATTTTGCCCTATTTCCCACTATCTCACTCATGGATTTGGGGGGCTATATTTCCACTGCCTTTACCCAGCATAGCAGTCCCATGAAGATAAGTTGTTGTCTGTCTCCATCTCCGTTACCGACTTCCCGACTGACTTCTTGCGTGTATGAGTGTTGGTAATGTGTGTCAGGCATGGATACATGCGAGAGTGCGATTGGTATGATTGGCACATGTGCATGAGGTGTTGTTGATGGGAGAAATTAGTGTGTACGTGTATGATTGGGGTGTGTAGGGTACAAGAAAGTGGGAGTCTGTGGTGAAACACAACTGATTTCTTGCATGAATGTTATTTCATTCAAGTCACCAATTACCTAGCATAGGGCATTTCAGCCTTGCTGAGCAATGGGACAGTGCCCATCCAATCAGTCCTCCTGAGCTCAGTTTCAGACATTAATACATTTCTTTTAGTCTGTCTTCCTCCCTTCTGCCCTTCTTTTCAGGGGCCACACATACACATACACACACATACACATGTTGGAGTCTTTTAATTATACCTTATTATTTATTTTTTTAAACATTTACCAAATTAAAAAAATCAGTTGCTCTTTTCTCAGACCTAGGATTCTCACCCCACCCTGCTCCTGGTCTCAAGAGAAAAAGTGGGCACTATAGGGGAAACTTGGCCACTCACCTCACGCTGGCTTCTTCGGACCCGCAGAAATTTGTAGGCAAACTTATCGTCCAGGGCTTCATTAAACCAAAATATAGCATACTCCAAAGAAAGAGCAAAATACTCTTTGGTCTTGTCAATGTCTACAAATCTGTTACTGCAGAGGTGGGCTCCCAGCACCACAAGCCCCACAAACAGGAGCACCTTCCACAACATGGCTGCCAGCGTCAGTACGAGGGGCACGGTGCAGGGGGTGGTGGCAGCTACAGTTAGTGACTCCCTTGCCAACTCTGATCCCACGTAGCCCTGCCCACCAGAGATCCTGTGCTGCTGACTGCCTCCCTTTGTCCAGTGTTTCTGTCCAGTGCTTCCTCTCCACTCCCCAACCTTGCTCCTCCCATCATCTCTAAGCAGAAAGAAGGCAGAGCAAGAGGTCATATTTTCTGCTCCATGGTGACACAAGCCCTAAAACAACCTGTGGGCATGCACGTAACATATACCTTGCCTGCACAACTCCTCCAGCCACAGCCCAGCCCTGAATCCCAGGATTGGCAGAGCCATGAAACTCTTAGGAGTAAAGGTGGAACCTGAGTATAAGTGAATTGAGGTGAGCACCAGATTTGTCTATGACCCAGACTACAGTCCATGCCCTCAGGGAGCCTCGGAAGGGTACAAAGCAGGAAGCCAGCATCAGGGCTAGGAGAATCATTTCCTCCACAATTTCAGGTACCTGCTTGTCACCTAGCCCCTCCCTTTCCTTATCTAAGGTCTGTCCATGTTTTTGCTTAGCAAAGGCAGTGGGCTGTAAGACTCCCAGGGCAAAAGGGAAGCCAAGTTCAATGTAGTAGCTCTCAAGGATGTACATGGATAACCAGCCATGGGCCTAAGAAAGAGGCAGAAACTGGGGAAGGGGCAACTCTGTTTTATATAGACTGACATGTATCCTCACCCAGCTCTGCCTCTTTGGCCTTCATGTGTCACTGTATCAGGCTCTTCTCAAAGGAACTGACCTATGCATGCCCTTCCTTCCTCCTGGGAAGACTTCTGGGAGGAAACAATGAAACAGGCTGGGAAGATAAGAAGGCTGTCAATAAGAGTGAGGATGCTGAGCAATGAAACAATCTTCCCTGCCTTGTGGTATCAGGACACCTGAACCTTGATAATCCTTACAAGGGCCCCAGTTTTGGAAACATATTGTAAGAGAAGGACTGGAGCTGATGCAGGAAGAGATGGAAGTGTGGATAGAATGATGGCCACAATCATGAACAACTTCCTACACTTATGGGTGGGAGGAAATAATCTTCCAAGGCGGCCTGACACATCAATGGATGACTAACAGCCTGGGGGCCTGAGGAATGCAGTGGGTCCCTGCTTGGACAACCATGCTTCAAAGCATGTGTGAACCCCCTTGCTTCCTCCCACCCAAGATGCTGCAACTTTCCAATTCTTATTTATCTTCACCATCCCTTTTTCTGAGGTCTGCCTGATCTGCAAGAGGCCCCTTCTTCATTGCAGGAGTAGATTAAGGTAGTCTTCTCCAATTCTAGATCTCTTTTGCCAAGAGTTAATCATTTCATTAGACCTTCTGAAGAACTGACTTGGAATTCTTGATCCTTTCTATCCACCTTTGTTTCCTCTTTCATGCATTCTTATTATAATTCCTTCCTTCTATTTTTCTCCAGGTTTAACTAGGAATTCTTTGGTTCTTGCAATGGAAACCGAAGTCATTGATGGCTGCCTTGTCCACCCTCCAGCATGTGCATTTCCAGACCTATTACGTGTCCCTCAAAGCCCAATATCAACAAACATCCACACGTTTGTTACTTCAGAAGGTTTTAATATGTGTAGCTTAGTCTGCAAGGGGATTGCTTCTCTAGCTCTTATATTACATAGAGATGTGCAGTTAAAGTTATCAAATATTTCTCTCCTTAATGTCTACCTAATTTTTTACTGTGGCCAGAGAGTGTTCTTTGAAATTTATCAAGATGTGGTATATGAACCAGAAGATGTTCAGTTTTGATAAACTTCTATAGGTTCATACTCTGCAGTTGTTGGGTAAATGGTCTGTGTAATACAAAATCAAATATAAACCAAACTTATTGCTATATTGTGTGCATGTATGACTATGTAACAACAAATCTCACTACTATGTATAATGATAATGCAATAATAAATAAATAAATAGGTTTTCTAAGTTGTCCCAAAATATGAAATCAAATTTGCTTAATGGATTCTTAAATTTTTTATGTCTCTTCTGTTTTTTTACTCTGTCAATCTGTTGGTTACTAAGAAAGGTGCTTGAAACCCTCTCACCAGGATCCTGGATTTAATGGTTTTATTTCCTATCCCTGCCAGGAAGCCTGACATGTCCCCAAGGACAGACTACTGTCAGTGTTGATACCCTCCCTCTACTTCTGAGCATAGAACTGGCCTCCCTGCAGAAAAGCCACCCACTGTGGGCCTGGTACCTGAGATGGAAGCAGAGGGAACACAGATGGCTGCTCACTGGCAATTTTTTAACATTCCTTTTAAATAGATGGGTGAGGAACATGGAGAAATTGGAGAATGAATGAATGTATGGGTACACAAACCAACCAGTGTGGCCCCTGCCTGAATTGCTTCACATGAACTGAGAAGTTTGATTTACTCAACACTCGGCACCTGCAGCCAAGGTAATGTAATAATTATAATAGATTCTCCATTGCTTATGGCTAATGGTGACATTCTTGGCAAACAAGCAATACAGAAGAGCTTAAAACTGCTCAGGGACCCATAATGTACTCAAAGATGTCTTTAATTGCATTGACACTGCACAAGCCTAGGACTACAGACTGTCTAGGGAAAGAGGGGATTTCTGCTGTGAAAAGCCAGGGGCCCCTTCCCCACCTGTACAGGTGCTGTACAGAAGAGTAAACTGGGAAAACCAAGGCCGGGCATCCACATGAAAAGTACAGCGCACCTAGAAGAAATAATAATTGTAACATATATCAGAAAAATGTAATGCATGGAGATCATTTAGCATGTATAGAGTCTTGAGATGCATTAAAAGCCAATTTAAAAAAAAAAAGTATAAACATTCACCTGGTACAAGGCTCATAAAACTCAAGTATCCACCAGAAAAATGGGCAGAAGTTGATAAATGCATCACCCAACATGAACGCAAGGGGTACCAAGGGGGCACCTGCCTGAAGGCCAACACCTTGCCTCCTGAGGCATCCAGTCCACTCAGAGCCTCTCCAATACACATCATGACAGATGATCTGTCCCCATGCTGTGTGCTCTGACAGACCCACACTGAAAGACGGTCCTGCTGGCCACCACCAAACAGAGTAGCAGCACAAACCTACCCCAGAGGCTGCCTGCAAGGATGCTGGTTGGAGGGAGAGACCCCCCACTGATGGCATACCTCTGACAGACAACCATCCTGAAGCTCCCACATCCCATGGATCACATGTCAGTCATAGGATGGCCACATCAGAACTCAAGCCCACCAGGAAGTGTCCTTACAACCCAGTTACAAGAAGGAAAGGTGGGTGAATAGATAACTAATCAGTCCTCCAGTCCCCAGACATGAGCAAAAGAAGAGTGAGGACCACAGGGAGAACATCATCTGTCTGAACCTCAGGGGTTTCAGAAAGGTACGGGGCTGGGACCACAGGAAGGGCTCCATCTTGTGACCAAGGCCTCACGGATGTCTGCAGGTTGCCTGTGGTCAGCCAGTAAATCTGTGAGCAGAGGGCTGCTCCCAGGGCTGGGAACCAAGCTCTGTCTATTTAAGATGCCCCCTTTCCAGCCAGTATGGGAGCCCTGAGAGCTGGTGGGAGAGGGGTCAGGAGCCCTCATTCTGTCCCTGGACTACCCCAACAACTTTCCTTAGGGCTCCACCCAAAGGCCTTCTTGATATTACTTTGCATTCCCCCGAGGATTCACAATGCTTTCTCTCAAACCTTTTTTTCTTCTGCGCCTTCTTGCATAGGACAATTGTCAGTGTCTTCATCATGCTTTTTACAAATTGTACGGCCCATATCCAAGTCCATTAAAAATATCATTGTCCATGTCTGTCAAGAAGAAATGATAAAATGATCAGCTAAATATTTGCTTTTTGTGAATATAAAATAAAAAAGAGAACCAAGTAGAAAAGAAGGCAAATGCAATTTCTGTAAGTCAGTAGAAATGTGTCCTAAGTGAACTTAAGACTAGAGTCTTTCCTTAATACTTGTCCCAATGGCTAAGATGTGGTAGTACATAGGGCAACAATAAATAGGTATACAGGGTGTGGCACATTCACACAATCAAATCCTATACAACAAGGGCCCTGCACACATTACAGTTATACCTGACCATATGACTATTCTCAAAAGTATGACTAAGAAGCACCACCCAGAAATAGGGAAAGCCTGCTGAGTGACTCGTTTGGCATAGAGTAAGAAAAAAAGGTAAGACTAAGCCTGCTATTAGAAATCAGAATGGCACTCTCTCTTTGGTGGAGGAAGTCTAAACTGGAGCATGGGTGTCTTGGAGGTCATGAATGTTGTTTCCCATGTCGGGGCTGACCACGTAAAAAATGTTCCTCTTGCAAACATTCATTGAGGCGAGAATATATGTGCACCATTCTTTTGTAAAATGAATTTTAATTCCTTAAATAGAAGTCCATGAAAACTCAGAAATTACTAAAAGTTAGAAAGAAAACAAATCCAGTTAGGAAATCCTCTCAGGGTGGAACATACATCTCACTGGACTGACTTGGAAATTGTCTAAAAACCTGATTCAGTCAGGGACTCAGTATTCCACGTAGATGACAAGGATATCCACTCATGCCCAATGCACACCAGACATTCGCATGCTCATGCCCCAACACAGATCAACAACACTCACACATTCATGCCAAATACTGTAATAGTTACCGCCAGTTACTGTTAGTGTGCAAACTAACAGCACTCACATGGCTCTCTCACATCTGCCCCTCCCTCCTTGCTTGGACTCTACACACTGAGCTGGTCTTGAGCTCCAATACTAAGCAGTGGTTGGTGCTGAGGGCTCCTGTGGATCCAAGCGCCTACAGCTAAAAATCAGTCCAAGGAGGAGGCATTATCAAGGGAACAGGAAAGATCAGGGAAAGTGTGTCCCTGAGCAGGAGGATGGGTCTGCAGACCTTCGGCTACAGGAGAGTGCTGCAGATGTGAAACCCTCCTGGTCAGTCCCTGCTGACATTCCACCCGGTCAGGTTTTTTAATGGGAGACAATACTTTGGGTACAGACACAGTGACTGCCACTCACCTTTTTTTGGGCTCTTCCAACCTCTAGCAACCTGTATGTATTCTCTTCCGCGTTGTCATCATTGAATTGAGCCACAGCAAACTCCACGGATGCCACAAAATAATCCAGATTCTTACTAATGTCTACAAATTCCTTTTTAATGGTCCAGATATGGGTCCCCAGCACAATGAGTCCCATAAGCAGGGGCACCTTCCACAACATGGCTGTCCTCAGCCTCAGCCCTGGAGGCTAGGAATACATGGGTGGAGAAGGAGGTGACAGCTGTAGCCGGCAACGCCCTCCCCAGCTCAGGAGCCCACATTAGCCCTGCCCACCAGAGGCTCTGACCTCCTTCTTCTCATCAGCACCTCTATCCATCACCTCATCTTCACCCCCATGCTTTTCCCTCCTGTAATCACCAAGCAGAAGGCAGAGCAAAGGTCACATTTTTCATAGCCTTGAACCCACCCAAGGGCATGCATACAAAATACCTGCCTGCAGCCTGTATATCTCCAGGACTGCTCCCAAGAGGTCCACCAGAGAGCTCCTAGGGAAGCTCCCCATTCCTGGAGGCCCAGTGCCTGCCTTGCTTGCCCTTGCACAGTGCAGGCAAGGATTGCCAGGGTTTGACAGAACTCCCAGGAACACTGATGAGCCCATTCCTGGGGAATTGAAGCCGTTGTCAGTTCTGTTCATGACCTTGACTACAGCCCATACCACCAGCTGGGCTCAAAGGAGTACAGGGTGTGCAGCCAAGAGTGATGAAGAGTTGGGGGTGTGGGGATCTATGAGAGGCCATCTTCCCCATGCCCTGACTCTCCTCTGCCAGAAGGTACACCTAGCTCCATCCTCCCTGTCTGTGGTGCCAGTTCCTAGTTTTCCCTTACTTCTAAACATTTCCACAGATATCCTTTTTGACCTGTGGGCTATAATAGTTGTATTGTTTTATTCTCAACCATAGTTGATTTTCTAATTATCTTTTATCAACTTTTAACTGAAGTCTATTGTGAGCAAAGAACATTCTTTAACTTCTCTTCTTTGAATTTTTTTTGTTTGGAATATGAACAATATTCTCTATGCTTTTCAAAAACAGTGTATATTTTTGGTATACAATTAGATATCTACATAGAAAAGCCATTTTGTTTTATATATATGTGCGTGTGTGTGTGTGTGTGTGTGTGTGTGTGTGTGTTCCCTCCCTCCGCCCCCCCTCCCCGACACACACACCCTTTATTTTTATTTTGTTTTATTGAGTTGTTTGGTAGGGATTAGCTTTGGTATAGTTTTGGTCTCCTTTCTGCCAGACTTACTAAGAGACTTACTAAGGAGTCTTAAAATCTCTATGGGTTTGGTTATGAATTTGTCTCTCCTTCTTTTCTGACAATTTTGCTCTCGATATTTTGATACTCTGTCACTAAGTGCTTATACAAGTAGAACTGTCACAGCTTCTTGGTGGCTGAACATTATCTCACTATGTATCTTCAGGGCTAGGGTTGTAGCTCAGTGGTAGAGTGCTTGCCTATCATGTGTGAGGCACTGGGTTCAATTCTCAACACTACATACAAATAAATAAAAATAAAGTTTGAAAAAAAGAGAGAAATATATTTTTAATGTGGAGTAAAGCTTCTGGCTTTGAGGTCTATTTTATCTGATATCTGAGTTAAGTATATCTACATTGCTTTGATTAGTATTTTTATGATATGACTTAACCTATATTTTTACTACTAAATGGTATCTTAATTAATATCTGTCTTTGTTTTCAGAAGTGTTTTCAATCCGCTAAGAGTTTTTTATTTGGAGCATTTGTTCCATTTCCAATTGCTCATGTCACTGATAACTGATGACTAATATTACTATTACTGCAATGTTTGGGTTCAAATCCACCATATTACTACTTGTTTTCTATTCATCTTATTTGTCACTATTTCTTCTTTTCTTCTTTCTTGTATTGCTTTCAATTATTCAAGATCTTTTTATAATTCCACTTCTTCCTTCATGTCTATTATCCCAGTCCTCAATTTTACTCTTCCTTTAGTGAGCATAACTCTAGTGATCATAACAAGTATCTTTGACTTGAGTCTCCGATTAATAAGTACTTTTACCTCTTCGAGGATGTAGGGGGACCCTTAGTCACTATACCTCCTTTGCTCTTGTTATGATTTAGATATGAGTTGTTCCCCAAAAGCTCATTGTGTGACAATGAAAGAAAATTTAGAGATGAAACGATAGGATCATTAATCTAATTAGTGCATTAGTTCACTCAAATGGATTAATCGGTGGTAACTATAAGCAGATAGAGTGTGACTGGAGGAGGTATGTTACTGGCATCATGACTTTGGGGTATATATTTTGTCCCTGTTGAGCAGAACTCTCTCAGTTTCCTGATTGCCATGATCTGACTGCTTTCCTCCATCACACCTTTCAGTCTTGATGATCAGCCTCATCTTGGGCCCAGAGCAATGAAGTATGCCATCTATGGACTGAAACCTCTGAAACCCTGTGCCCCAAATAAACTTTTGCTCCTTTATGCTGTTTTTTTCACGTCTTTTAATCACAGCAGCGAAAACCCTGACTAAAACTGTGCTTTTCTAGTAGTTTATGTTATTGCCATGGTGCATTTAAATTCTTAAAACAGCTGTGCATCAATTAACATTGGGGATTTCGTCACTATTCTTATATCCTGAGAAATTCATTGTTAAGTTATTTCATCACTGTGTGAACATCAGATTGTATTTACTCAAAACAAGATGGCTACAATTTCATTAAGCTAGATAATCTTAAAGTACCACTATTGCATATGTGGTCCATCATGGACTAAAATGTTATGCATGCATGAGTGCATTTGAAAGCCAATAAAACAATATTATTTTATTTTATACATTCACCATTCATTCATATTTACCTACATATGGACCTTCTGTCACATTCCTTCAATATTACTTTGCTTCCTCCTGAGATCATTTCCCTTTCCCTCTAAAGAACTCTCTTTTGTATTTATTTTTGTTTGGATCTTGTTGATATATCTTTTAGCTTTTTCCTAAAGTTGTCTTCTCACTAAACAATATTACCAGGAAAGCCCCTGTCTGACATGATTATCCAAATTTCTTTTTTCTCTCTTCTGGGTGTCCCCCATTCATGGCTAATGAATTTAAGACTATAAATTGTCCTCTAAGCCTTACTCTGGCTGCATCCTGTATATTTTGATATATTGTATGTTTATTATATTTGAATTCAAAGAATTTTCTTATTTCCTTTATTACTTTTTTCTTTGATTCATGGGTCATTTAGAAATATACTATTAAAAACACAAATGTACTATTAAATTTTCAGGTTATCTAGAGGTTTTCATTGTAGTGGTCTACTCTGAACAAAAAAACATACTCTGAATCAGTTTCATCTTTTGGAATTCTTGAGGTTTCTCTCCTTGTTGATTTTCTGAAAATGCTTTAATTTTGGCTTAAGTTGAAGAATATTTTTGCTGGCTATAGAATTATAGGGTTTTTTTTTAAAACAGCATACTACAAAGACACAGCCACATCAATGTTTATAGCAGCACAATTCGCAATAGCTAAACTGTCGAACCAACCTAGATGCCCTTCAGTAGATGAATGGATTAAAAAATGTGGCATATATACACAATGGAATATTACTCAGCAATAAAAGAGAATTAAAAATCATGCATCTGCAGATAAATGAATGGAGTTGGAGAAGATAAGTCTAAGTGAAGTTAGACAATCTCCCAAAAAAAACAAATGCCAAATGTTTTCTCTGATATAAGGAGGCTGACTCATAGTGGAGTAGGGAGGGGGAACATGGGAAGAATAGATGAACTCTAGATAGGGCAGAGGGGTGGGAGGGGAAGGGAGGGGGCAGGGGGTTAGCAATGATGGTGGAATGTGATGGACATCATTATCCAAAGTACATGTATGAAGATACGAATTGGTGTGAACACACTTTATATACAACCAGAGATATAAAAAATTGTGCCCTATATGGGTAATATGAATTGTAATGTGTTCCACTGTATTTATTTTTAAAAAATCAATTAAAAAAAGAATTCTAGGTTTTTGAATATTCTCTTTTAGTTATTTGAAACATCAAAGCTGGGCTTCTTAAAGTGGTCTATTTCTAGTTCATTTTTACTCCTAGGATTTGACCTTTGATGATTTAAGCTGAAATCATGGGATATTTACCCCAGCCTTTCTTCCTTGGCAGATGCAAGTTTTTCTACTTTTAATCCCCTCCGTTAAATAAAAAAATTAAAATGCCATGAAAATCACAGCATTTTATCTTCATTATTACCCCTAGTACCCTCCCACTCTCTCCTCTCTGCCTCTCCAGGAGTTTCTCTGAGTCAGGCAGGAGAAAGAGAAGACTGTTCACCATCAGGCAAGTGTCCATCACCATGATGTCTCTCCCAGGCGCAGTGATTAGTGTCTGCAGCCAGAGTTCTCACCATGGACACCAGGCTGGGTCCTCAGGTCAACTTAAATTGACCTTCAACTTTAGGTCAGAGGACTTAAGCGTCAAGGAGATCAGGACATGCTGAATTGAGCTGCTGCTTCTGAGGTTGGTCCTGGCAAAAGATTTTTTGTCGATCAAATGACTGTCCAGGACCCCAGGGACAGGATTATGTGTCTAGATCTTCTGGAGATTCAAGGGCAAAGAAGAGGCCTTCCTGGCTAAGGTCCCTGGGGGATTTGTGGGAACTCCCAGAAGTTCTCCTGGGTTTGGCTTCATTGTCAGGGAGGCTCATAATTGAAAATATTTTGTATACTTATGTTAATAGCAGCATTATTTACAATAGCCAAGAGTTGCAAGCAGCCCAAGTGTCTATCAATCGATAAAAGTATCAACAAAATGTGCCATTTATGTCTAATGCAATACCATTCAGACTTAAAAAGGAAGGAAACTGTGATACACACTACATTGTGGATGAACCTAAAGGATTTATACTAAGTAAAACATGCCAGTCACAAAAAGATAAGTTCTAAATGCTTTGACTTATATGAGTACCTAGAGCAGTGAAACTCACAGACACAGAGAGTAGAATGGTGGCTGCCAAGGGCTAATGTGGGGGCAGAGAAATGGGGAGTTATAGTTTAATGGGTATAGAGTTTCCACTGGAGAGGATGAAAAAATTCTGGAGTTGGATGATGAGGTGATTGCACAACAATGATAGTGTGTTTAATACCACTGAACTGTACTTAAAATTTATTAAAATGACAAATTTTATGTTACTTGTATTTTACCACAAAAGGGCTCAGGAGAATTCAGAATCACAACAGAGAAGCCCATGGTTTGAAGGGCAAGCTGATACTTATAACATCTTTTAGCATTGTCCTCTGCTGCTCAGTCTGGCAGTGATGGGGTAGGAGAGACCAAAGGAAAAAATGTCCTTTACCAAATACAGCCCCATTCCTGACCTTCTTGGTCTACTCTGGCCTCCCAGCTGTTTGGGATATTTAGATATTTCTGAAGCATTGTGTTGTCCAGGAGCAGTGGGGGCTAATGGTAGCCACTCTGGAGGGAGCTTCTCTGCTCACTGAGCTTTGGCAGAGTTGTTCAGCTTTCTCAGAACACCCTCTGTCCAGGTGCCTGATTCTTGTGTGACATTTGACATCATCATTTAGCCAGGGAAGAATTGCAACCCAGGAGAACACAATAGAGTTGCTATCTGGTATTAGGATAGTGCTTCCTTTTGAGTGCTCTGAAAAAAAGTTGTGGTTGTTTTTTTTTCTTAATGGCTTTTCTTCAATCATTCATCCATAAATGATTAATGCATCCATAAATCAGAAACAGGATCAAGCATCAATGTATATATTTCATCATTTGAAAAAACAGGAATTTTCTTTCTGGAATCTGGCAAAATTCTTTTATGAGTGGCTTAAGGAAATTTACTGGAAGGGAAGGTAGGTGCTGGGAAACAGAATTGACTCGTTCCTGGAGTCCAAATGGCCAAGGAACTCATATCAAGTCTCATGGGTCTCTCGTCCCCTGCCCCATCCCACACTTTCAACGATGCCCCTGAATGGTAAACTGATGGATAAATGTGTTCATTTCAGG